TGTGGGAGGAGGAACAAACTGGGTTGACGGAGGTGGGGGTGTTGGAAGCTGAGAAAAGGAACTGTACTAGTCTAGGCCAGAGATGATGAGGGCTGGACCAGGTGGAGACTGAGGAGGGGAGAGAAGCGGGCAGGTTCTGGTTGGGGAAGTCTTGGATTAGAATTTTGGGGACCCATTTGACATGTCTGCATCTGAGAGGCTTATCCAAGTGGAGTTGTCTAGGAGACTGTCAAATGCAAGTCTTGGGCCCAGCAATGAGTTCTGAGCTGGGACCTGACATTGGGGAGGCCTTCCTTGAGGTTAAGAACTTGAGAGAGCATGAGAAGGTGTTGAGTGAGAAATGTAGGACAGAGTCCTGAGGTCCATAAATATATACGGGCAAATGAAGAAGAACCTCAGTTCTGGAAAATTCCCAGTCAGGGAAGGCCATGCAGCAGCAGTCGTTTTGAGGAGGGACCTTAGAAACCTCACTTACCTGTCATGGGTGCTGTCAGGGGCCCCATCCTAGACCAGTGTTTGTCCATCTCTCAGCATTTCTTGGCCTGAGGCCTGTGTCTGGTCCCTGAAGCACTTTGCCTGCCTGGGTAGAAGGCTGGAAGCGCAGGGACTTAAGCCTGACCATTGACAAATAAGGGTTGGTGGGTAAAGACCCCAGCTCCTTCCTCAAACGGGATGGGTCTCGGGCGCGTGCCCTCTGCTGCCTCCCAGAGGTCACCAGCGGGAGTGAACCTCCGTCGCCCACATCGGAAACTTGTTTTCCACCGCGCAGTTTACAGGCTGCTTTTCCTTCCCTGTTTCGCTTCCCCACTGGCCCCCTGGTTTTCTGGGGTTACTTCCTAGGTAAATGACTTATACCCAGATCTTGACCTCAGCATGTCCTGGAGACCCAAGTGAAGGCTCCAGTTACGTAGGAAATGAGTGGGGGAGGAAGAGCCAATTGAAACTGGTCTTTGCTCCTACCCCCACCCCACAGGGAATTTTGAAGGAGGGGTCCCCTACCGAATCACAGTGACGGCCGTCTCTCCTGAGGGTTTGTACCCTGCCCCCTCAGTATGGAGGTTCAGAGAGGAACTAGGTAAGCGATGGGGCTGGAAGGTGAAGGGTCCTGGAACCCTGACAGACCTTGACACTGGCTTTCTCTCCAGTACCTTTAGTGGGGCCAGCGCTTTGGCGACTCGAGGATGCTCCCCCAGGGACCCCTGTCATAGCGTGGGGAGAGGTCCCAAGACACCAACTTCGAGGCCACCTCACCCACTACACCTTGTGCACACAGAGTGGGACCAGGCCTTCTGTCTGCATGAATGGTGAGCTTTTCTGCCTCCTGCCCCCAGCTCCCAGCCCCCACAAGACCAGGCCATCAGTCTGCCTCACCCCTTGTCCTCAGATGGGCCCCTTTGGTTCCCTCTCAGCCCCTGGGAGAACACATGATGTCATCAGTTCCCTATTGGACAATAACCCTGGTGGTTCTCAATGTAATGGACTGTCATTTGGCCATTAAAAATAAAGACTCCAATCTATATTTATTGACATTGAAAGATGTCTGTCATATTTTATTAAGTGAAAAATATGAAAGGATTCCAAATGCTGGGATGGTTCCATTTTTTGAACACTAAACCCGGCATTGAGCAAAGCTAAAGCAGAAATACGAAAATAAATTTATACTTTTGGGTGTAGGCTACATTTTTACTCTGGGCACAAATTCCTTTTAAAAATACATTACCTTTTTTTTTCTAATTACAAAAACTATCTGTGCTTGTTACAAAAGCTGACACGTATCATCGAGAATATCAGCATTTTCATAATTTCACTGATACTTACAAGTTTCCAGGTTTTTTCATATGTATGTTGACATAGATAGGAGTTGGTTTTTTGAAGATTTTTAACTTGTTATTGTAGAAAATTTCAAACACATACAGAAGTAGGGAGACTATGACAAACCCTCGTGTGTCTACCATCCAGCTTCAGTAATTACCTACATTTTGCCAATCTTGTTTCAATTTACTCCCCCACACTTTTCTCCCTAGAGTCTTTGGTACCATTTCACTCCTAAATACATCAGTACTTCACATTCGCCCCTAATTGATAAAGCCTACTTTTTAGCATAATTGCTTTGCCATGATTGTATCTAGCGAACATATATTATTATTAAATATATGTACATTTATATTGTCATTATTAGTAGTAAAAGAAGACCATATTATAGGCTATGGTTTGGCCCATGAGTCTTCTGACTGATGTTTTGCAACTTTTTTTTTTTCATCTGGGACTTTGCTTGGACATCTTTCTTTGGCAATATATCCTGATTCCTGTTCACATTTCCTATAATCCTATAACAAATCAAAAAGCTACTTCCTCTTTTAGCTTAAAAACAAAAAAGAGCAATTCAGTAAAACAAATAAACAAAAATAGCTCTGAGAGGTGCAGATGTCTACCCTGGGTCTAAGGAGCCTCCCCCCACTGGGCTCTGTGCAGGTGAGGGATATGATACTCATTTATTCTTTTGTTTATTCAAACCTCTATTATTTTTTAGTGCTTTCCATGTGTCAGGCTGATCCAGGTGCTGGGAATATGGTCCTCATGGGGCTCTAACTTTCTAACAGAGGACACACAGGGATTGACAAAGTAAACAATATCTCACCAGTGTGTCAGATGGTGAGAAGTGCTGGGTAGAGTGTGAAGCAGGCAAGATGGGTTGCGAAGGAGGTGCAATTTTTTACTTTTTTTTAAAAATCCTCACCCAAGGATACTTTTTCCATTGCTTTTCAGAGAGAGTGGAAGGGAGAGAGGAGAGAGAGAGGGAGAGAGAAACATCGATGTGATGGAGACACATCAACTGCCTCCCACATGTACCCCGACCGGGGCCAGGGATTGAGCCTGCAAAAGAGGTGTATGCCCTTGGCTGGAATCGAACCCAGGACCCGTCAGTCCGCAGGCCAATGGTCTAACCACTGAACAAAACCAGCTAGGGCAGGAGGTGCAATTTTATATGTGATGGGGTAAGGGAAGCCCTCCCTGAGGAGGCAACATTTGTGCAAAGACCTGAAGGAGGGAGCTGTGTGGATATCTGGGGGAGAATGTTGCAGACAGGGAGAAAGCACATACAAAGGTCCTGAGGTAGGACTTGACTGCTTCTCCAACTGTTCTGGGTTTGTCCTTCAGTGAGTGGCAGCACCCAGAAAATCACCCTGCCCAACCTTCCCTGGGGTCCCTGTGAGCTGTGGATGATGGCGTCCACCATCGCAGGACAGGGCCCACCTGGTCCCACCCTCCGGCTTCACCTACCAGGTAGGGGGTGGGGTGGCACTGCCATAGTAGGGGGCCTGCTACATTTGAAGGGGATATGGAATGATTCTCTGGGCTTCAATGACTAGGCAACCTTTTTACTTAGGGGGGGTCATTATTGATGATGTATTTTGATTCTGCTAAATACTGCTGTGGGTTATCAGGCAATGTGTGTCTCTGACCATTTCACCCACCCTTAACCTTGACCTCTCACTGATTATTGCTCTGTTCACAAGCTCACTCCCACCCCAAGATTTTCCTCACCGGTTCCCCCTACTCATTTTCATAAGCTCCACCCATTTATCTGCATCCCTCACCCAAGCCTGGTACATCAGTGAGCTTTAATTGACCCCCCCCCCGCCCACTGCTGGTGCCTAACTGTTCTTCTACCCCTCTCCCCCAGATAACACCCTAAAGTTGAAAATTCTGCCAGGTTTCCTTCTCCTGTGGGGCTTGCTTCTGACAGGCTGTGGCATGAGCCTGGCCACCTCTGGAAGGTGAGGCAGTCAGACATGTGGGGCTCTGCCCATTGGGAAGGGCAGCTGGGCAATAGCTGAACTTCTGGGGCAAGGGGCCACCCCAGGGCTCTTTGACATTCCTGGTCCCTGCAACCTGGGTTATTCCCTGGATTCCCTTCCTTGACTCTTACCTGCTTGCCAGGTGCCTCCACTTGCGGCACAAGATACTGCCCCGTTGGGTCTGGGAGAAGGTCCCTGATCCTGCCAACAGCAATTCCAGCCAGCCCCACATAGAGGTGAGCAAAAAAGACTGGCTTGTCAGGAACCTCCAGGGGGTTGGGGATGCTGGGACAATGGGGAGTGGGTGGGAGCACTGAGGGAGAATGGGGGCCATAATCACAGCCTCCTCTCTTCCCAGGAGGTGCCCCAGGCCCAGCCCCCCGGGGACTTGCCCACCCTGGAAGTAGAGGAGATGGAGCCACTAGCAGTTATAGAGTCCCCCCAGGCCTACTCCCAGCTTGATTCTGGATATGAGAAACATTTTCTGCCCACACCTGAGGAGCTGGGCCTTCTGGGACCCCCATCCCCAGGCCCCAGGTTCTGGCCTGAACTGATCCCAGGCCAGGAGAGGGGTGCTCATTTGACAGCTGAAGACACTGAGGCTCAGAGAGACTGAGCTACTTGCCTGAGGATACCCAGCCAGGAAGAGCTCAGATTGAAAGACCCCTGCAGAGAAGGCCTGGACCTATAGGAAATGGATGGATGGATGAGGGAACAAAGGAAAATATATGAAGTCCAGAGTGGCAGCCACCTCCCCAAATATGTCCTGCTGCTGTAACAGAACTGTAACTGGGTACACTCCCAGCCTCCCTTGCAGCTAAATGTGGCCATGCATGGAGTTCTCACCAATGGAATGTGTGCCAAAGCTGGGACTGTATGGGGCTCCTCCATATTCTCTTCCCTTTTCCATGAGCTGGAAAAACATAAACATGCCCATAATTTAGCTTCAGCCAGACCTAAGGGGAGGGTGGGAACAAGAAATGGAAAGGAACCTGAGTTCCCAAGTGACTGCATGGATCAGAGCCACCCAGAGAAATAAATTCATGTTTTTATAGTTACTGTAGCTTGAGGTCTTTTGTTACAGCAGCTGCACCTATACACTCACTGATTCATAATCTTTTGATTCTAGCCAAGTGAAAACCTCAGTTTCCCACCAGGAGATGGTAAGGTTCTGTACAAAACACACACACATTCAAACTGTCTCAATGCTTTAACATTTTATTTTCAAGTATAAAGGCTTAGTCAGAGAAGGGAGCCAGGGTCACAGGCAGTGGACAAGGGGTCTGGAAGCCCAGGTGGAGGTGGACATGTGGGCCAGCAGGCTCCCAGATGCCATGGCCAGTCCCATATGCCCTGTCTGTGCCTGGGACCCTCTGCTGAATGCCAAGAGGCCGAGGTAGCTGTGAAAGGAGCGAGGCGTGGGGTGGAAGGCATGGACTCACATCACCGCACAACACTGGCACGTCTTTTGCTTAGGGCCACTTGCCTCTTCACCCTCAGGAGGAGCAGATGGCTCGGGCTGCTGGGCAGGTGCATAGGTGGGCACAGGGTGGGCACTGGGGTTAGCCCGGGGCCCCTCCACTGGAAGCAGTGGCTGGCACTCGGTGGGCTGCTCAGGAGCCGGGGTCTCTGCCAGGAGGGGTGTGGCATCACCTGAGGGGTCCTGGCTCTCAGCAGGGGTTTGGGGCTTTACTGCTTCCTCCTCCAGGGAGCCTTCCTGCTTCTCCTGGGGCTGCTGTGGTCCTTCCTCCTCCAGCCTTAGCTCTTCCTTGGCCTCCAGGGGAGCCCCTGCCTCACTTACCTCCTCTCCCTGACATTCTTTTCCAACTGCTGACTTTCTCTGCTCTTCTGGACTCACATCTTCCTTGACCTCCTGGTTCTCCTCTGCCTCCAATGGCTCCGCACCTCCTGTTCTCCCTACTGTTAGTGGCCCCTCACCCTCCTTCCTCTCTGTCATCAGTGGCTCTTCAGTCACTTCTAGCTTGTCTTCATCTCCTTTCTTCTCTACAACCAGTGGTTCCTCAACCTCCTTCTCCTCCACCCCGAGATTTTCCTCATCTCTTTCCTTCTCTGCCCTCAATGATCCCTCAACTGCCTTGCTGTCTACTCCCAATGGTTCCTCAACTTCCTTTTCTGCCTCCAACTTTTCCTCACTTCCACTCTGCTCTACTCCCAATGGCTCCTCACCTCCTTCCCTCTCTGCCCTCAAAGGTCCCTCAGTTTCCTTGCTTTCTGCTGACAGTCCTTCTTCACCCCCTTCCCTCTCTGTCTCCACCTTTCCCTCACCTTCTCTCCTCTCTGGCTTCAAGGGTTCCTCCCTTTCTTTCCTCTCTACTACCAGAGACATCTCCACTCCTCCCCACTCAGCCCCTGCCTTTTCCTCTGCCTTTTCTTCACTTCCTTTCTTCCATGTGCCCATGGATTCCTCTGCCTGTCTCCTCTCCACTTCCCAGGTTTCCTCCCCTCTCAACCTCTCCGCTCCCAGAGGATTCTCATCTCCTCCCTCCTTCCCCAGTGCCCTCGACCCTTCCAACCCCTCCACCAGCAGTTCCTCCCATTCCTCACTGAGGGTCACTCTCTCCACCCAAATGAAGGATCCCTCCTCTCCTCCAGAGCCCCCCTGCCTGAAGCCATCAGGGCTGCCCCTGGGGGCCCCTCCCCCTTCTCCAGAAGCTGCTCCCTCTAGTCCTTCCTGGAGCCTAGGTGAGCTGGTCTGCGCAGTCTGTGGGCCCCTGCCTGTCTCCCCCGCAGCCTCTGAGTCACTGCCCTCTGTGCCTCCCACCCCTTCCCACACCACCTCCACAACCCCCCTGTCCTCCTTCACCCAGGATGGGAGCTCTGGACGGTCGGCTTCCAGCCTGTCCCCGATGGCCTCCAGCACCATCTCCTCCACTTTAGCCTCCAGCTCTGGGCCTGTGGCCCCCCTGGCACAGTCCTCTGTAGCCCTCAGCCCCTCCCACACCACCTTCACCACACCCCCTCCTTTGGCCTCACCCACCCCCCAGTCGGATGCTGTCAGCCCCTGACTCTGCTCCTGCTCCTGCTCCTGCTCTGGAGGGGGGCTGGGCCTGGGGCAGGGGCCATTGGCTTCTGAGGAGGCCCCTGCTGCCCCAGGGACCGGCCTTGGGGCTGGCAGAACCCCAACAGCCTCATCTCTGGGCTCAGTCGGGGACTCCAGAGATGTGCCCACTGGTTCAGCTGGCAAGGAGGCTCTCTTGTTCAGATCAGTCTGGCCTGGGGAAGTCAGGGGAGGATAGGAGAGAGGGAAGGTGACAGGATGAGATTCAGGCCACCTAGATTCAGGCCCCTCCTCTTGGGACCCCCAGACCTAGGGGCACAAATACCTACCTGCAGTACCTGCCTCCACAGTGGGCTGAGAGAGTGGACGGTGACCCTGCAGGAATAACAGAGACAAGGTCAGGCCAGCCTGTCTTCACTTCTGGCCTCCTGTATGCCAGTACCCCTCCCCTGCTCAAACTCTCAGCGGCTCTTCATTACCTTCAGAACCAAACCCTCTACTGCACCTCAGCCTTCCTCGCCCATCTTATTGCCCTCTGCTCCAGTGCCTTGCACAAGTAGGTGCTTAATACTGTGTCGTGCAGCTAATATTCTGTATTGGGGACCTACTGTATTGACAGCTACTGAGGTTACCATAAGGGACACTTAAGCCTTTTGCTATTAGACATACATTCCAAACTCACTTGGAGGGCAGAGCACTGTCCTGGGAGACTGGAAGGCTAAGTCCTTCCCTGAATCTGCCCCTCACTTGCTATGTAACCTTGGAAGAGGCACTGTCCTCTCTGGCCTCTGTTTTCCCATCTATAAAACAAGGCACTTGAACCAAGGTGATGGGCACTTTGATGACCTCTCCTCTGGGGCACGTGGGGGGGGGGACGACAATCATCTTCCAGAGGCTTTGGCTGCTGATGGGGCTTTGCCCCAGGGCTAGTGACATATTTTTAGCTACCCACATGGCCCTGCCTCAGCATGCCTATTCCTTCAACTGTGTGTCCCAGAGCAGCCTGGCTTGCCAGTGATGTCACTGTTGGGGACACAGTGACTTCAGGTGAGGAAAAAAATACATTCCAATGGGAGTAGGCAGGTCATAAATAAAAATATTTAAACATATAATGCCAGGGACTGAGAACTATGGCAGAAAAAAGAAAAGCAGGATGAGGGGTTAAGAAGTGCCTGGTAGGTAATGGGGTGCCTCCTTTAGGTATAAGATGCAGGAGGGGCCTCTGGGAGGAGGTGACATTGAACAGAGACACGAAAGATGAGAAAAGCCGGCCTTGAGTCAAGAGGTGGGGAAGGGCAGTCCAGGCAGAGGGGACAGCAAATGCCAAGGCCCTGAGGTTGCAATAAGCTAGGCAAGTTCAGGGAACAGAAAAGGTGGTCAGTATGACTGGAATGGAGTGAAGAAGGAAGCCATAGGAACATGGGCTCAGGGAGCAGAACTAGGGACAGCCATGCAGTAAGCCTAGACCAAGCTCCATGGATCTCACAGTTCTCTGATCCTAATCTCCTCTTTCCAGCCTCCATACCTTTACAGAGGCTGTCCTCTGCCTGGAATCCCCTTTCCCCTCATGCTTGGCTCCCACCCAGATTCAGCACAGATATCGCTGCCTCCAGGAAGCCTTCCTCGAATCCTTAACCTCACTAAGGTGCTTCCCCTGAGCTCCCCCAAGCCCAGGGCTCTCCACTCACAGACTCTTTGTGCCCCATCTCCTCATCTGGACTGTGAGCTCCCTTGAGCCAGGAAGCATGCCTTGTGCATCTCTGGCAAGAAAGTTCTGGCTTATACAAAAAACCCAACAAGTGCTTCCCATGCTGATTAACAGGTCTCCTCTCCTTCTCTGTCCTGTGACAGGCTTCTGGGAGCTAAGGGAAGACATCGGGGAGAGGTGGAGACTGTGGAGAACCCACACCTCACTGTGGCCAGGAACAAATGTGGTGGGATCTTTGGATTTCGGGAACAACCCAGACAAGCCAGATTTTACTGTGAAGTATCCTGGTTTTCAAAATCCTGTGTGTGACATGTGGATTCTATCTTAATAAAGGCATTACCAAAATGAAAACAAACAAAAATCCCCAACCCTGTGTAGATGCCTCAGATCCCAAGAGCATCTCATGATGACCCATTCCCACCTTTGAGACTGAATTCCATGAGTACTCCTCACACTTTCTGTCCTTCCTCATACTAGCAACTATGTATCAAAACATTCCCTTATGCCTGTTCCTAGTGTTAAGCTACAATCTTGGGGACCCTCCCTCACACCTCTTCCACGTGTGTGCTGATATTCTCTCTCTCTTTTTTAAAAAAAATATATCTTTATTGATTTCAGAGAGAGGAAAGGAGAGGGAGAGAGATAGAAACATCAGTGATGAGAGAATCACTGATCAGCTGCAGCCCACAGCCCGGGCATGTGCCCTGACCAGGAATCGAACCCTGATCGCCTGGATCCTAGGTCGACGCCCAACTGCTGAGCCACGCCCGGCTGGGCTGATGTTCTCTTTTTAGAGACAGGCCAACTGAGGCTTGGGTAAGGAAAGTGACTTGCCCAAGACTACAAAGCAAAGAAGAAGTAGAGGGCCAAGTATCTAAACTATACTTGCAAAGGTCCTGCTTGGGGCCCTGCGGCCACACCCCCTCCCTAACCATTGCTCCTCCTCACCTGTCTGCGCCAGGTAGGCCTGCCAGAGGGCTTGTGCTGGGCACCTGTGGACGCACTTTGCAACAGCTGCAGCTGAGATTGGAGTCTGGAAGAAAAGGGGTTGCTGGGAGCCAAGCCCCAGGCTCAATGGACACCCCCAGTCTCAATTTGCCACCTCCTGGGAGTAGACCCTTGGCCATGCTGGGGCCAAGGCAGCAGGCAGGGACCCCACTCACGTGAACAAGCTGTCTTCCAGGTTCCGGATGCGGGCCTGTGCCTGGCCCTCGGGGGACTGGGGGTCCTGCAAGGTGGCGTCCTCCGGTCCCTCAGGTCCCTCAGCCCCATCCATTAGCCACCGCTCCCGAAGAGACTTTCTCTGGTTATGGAAAGGGGCTCCAGCTGGCCATATGAACTTCCCTGCCCTATGCAGGGTCCCCTCCCCACCCCTCAGGCTGGGCAGATTTCTCATAGCCCCACAATGACCCAGGTGGGACGGCCATTTCTCCCTCAGACTGGGATACAGGCCCTCAGTGCTCCCTCAACACTGCTAGGTGGGACAGACAGACACCCCATTACCAGCCCATAACTTCTCCAGGCTGGAAGCAGCACCCATCACCATCCCCAACCCTTCCAGAATGGGACATACACTCCCAAAGGTGAAATCAATGTCTTTCTTGGCCTCTCCTTACCCCAAAGTTGGACAAACATCTTCACTGTCCCCATACTCTTCCCGAAGGTGGCACGAATGTCTCCATCACCATCACCCATTCTCACACACAGGGAAAAACAGTCGCCCTCAAAGCTGGAACCAGTGCCCCCAACTGCTCCCCCCAAATTAGACAGAGGCTCGGATGGTCCCGCGAACCGACTCTCACAGGCACCCCCCCACCTCCTGGCCGAGGCCGGGCAGGCGCCCCCACTCGCCACCAACCTTGAGGCGCTCCACGCGGAGCTTCTCCTCCTCCAGCTCCCCGCGCGCCGCGCGGATCTCTTCCTGCAGCC